AACGTTTGAACAAAAATATGAACATTTTATGGATAGTGTATTATTGAAAATTATAGTTAATATTAACTAAAATTATAGTTAATATGTTTAAATTTTAGGCATATTTTTAAATATAAGATGAATACCGATGTTGACGGTATGGTATTTTAATTGGCTTTTAAGCATTCGTTCAAATATGTCTCCTTTTATTTGTGTTTACATAAAAAATGTTATACAATTGTGAAGTAAAAATTTGGAAGGTGAAGTGGAGGGGGTGGGGTACATAATGCAGCTAGTTATAAAAATATATCCGTGTCTAACATCTTATTCTTGAGTATAATAATATTTATTTATTTTTTTATACTTTAAAATTTACTTTGAAAATTTGAAAAATGATATACCTATATTTTATAGTCTCGAGTAAGAGGATTTATCTGTATATGTTGTTCAGCCCAATGATTGTTTGAACAAACATATTCACTGGCTCTATATATTGCAACTTGCTACTTTCAACTTACAGTAGTTATTATTTAGAATATTTGTTTAAGTGTTTCTAACACTAACTCCGGAAAATTGCCTTACGTTATTTACTAGTATTTTCAACTACTTATTTGTGTGAATAAGGATTTTCCAGTCTACTTGTGATCAAAAATAAACAGAGAAATCGCTTGGACGACATGCGTTTAGCCATTAGCAATATTCATCAGAGAATTGAAAAACTGGTCAAAGAAATGCAGCCATAAAAATCACACTAAGTAAATTATTAGTAAAGTATAATAATTATGTATACCTAATAGTACAGTAAAATAATAAAAATTAACATTTTACTATAAATTGTGTGTATTATTGTTAATGAGCAAAATAAAAAAAAGTCTATCTAGTTTGGGTAAAATTGAGGTAGTCCGTGACCTATAAAATATTGTCGAAGTGGTCCGTGGTGTTAAAAAGGTTGGGAAACACTGTTATAGTGTATAGCCCAATAATATACTATACTTGGCTCCCCCTTCAAAAAAAAAAATTATGACTTTTTAACTATAAGTTCATGAAAAATTTGTCATTCCTATAATATGTCTAAAGGTTGATAATAATATGAATTATGAGTACAGTGTATGTTTTTTATTAGATAGTCGGAAACGTACATCAAACCAAAACACTTTTAACAGCTTTAACTTTTTTCTTTTTTATAAATTATGGTAAAATGGAGGCTATTAGGCATGTTGCATAAACTTTCATTGCATTAACGAACAATTAACGACTTACTCTTTTTTTTTCAAATATTTGTAAGAATAAACGTTATACCATTATACTTCACGATTACATACCAATGTTGTTCTTATGCATACCTAAATAATAATTAAAAATATATTTTTTCTCAAACCCATATTATTACATTAAGTAGTTTCCGGTTGAATCATTTGTAATGCTTAATACTGTTAACCATTTACTCGATGGTGTAATAAAATATAATAAGTGCTTACTGTGAATAGAGCACTATCCGAAAACAAAGCTTTTGAAATATTCTTTTTTTGTAAGCTATTAGTGTTATCGGTAAGTGGATACATTATATGTTCCTCTAATACAATAAAGAGGTGACTTCTGATTTCTGTATGGATACTTTTTAACTAACAATAATGTTTAGACAGATAACTAAAACGTTATCATAACTTAAAGCAAACTTAATAAACAAATAGTTTTACAAATACGCAAATTTTTGAGTGGAACTTATTCATGGGAATTTAATATTTTATTTTTTCTGTGTACCACGTAGAACTATTATGGAATACTCAATTGAATAGATTATTAATTATATTATACAACATAAGCACCTGACAGCATTATAAATAATATTTAATATAAATAATTATTCTTCCGATAAATACCCAATGACCTATATAATGTAAATGTTCTGGATGTATATAAATATAGTACTTTAAGCTTAAATTATGAAACATTGAGACTTTTTGTACTCGCAGAGCGAGTAACCGTCACTTTATTTCATTTTTGTTTCGTTACCTATAAGTTTAGAAAAAAAACAATTTTTATAATGGCTAGGGTATTAATCGTATTGTCCGTTTATGTGACGGAACAAGCATATTTCTTGGAAAAAGATTTCATTAATAATAAAAATGAACAGGCGATGACATGGAAGGTAATTCATAAAACATGCTTATTCTGTATATAAATGTTCGTGATTATTTGTATATTGTGACATTGAGCTCGGAGACGCAATATTATATGATTTGTATTACATTCGATAATTTTATATATTTTCAAAACAATTATACCACTGATTGCTCAAATGGAGCAGAAATGAAGTGAATAAGACATAGATTCATGTGCGATGTATAGCAATGACATACAATTAATCTAAATGTATTGAAAAATGTATTAAATATACCAAACAACTAAATGTTTCAATTCCTCACGACATTTTAATTACAAAAAAATAACCAAAATCGATATTTTTCGTTTAACTTTGATCCTTATTAAGGGTTTGAGGATACGGAGACGATGATTCAGTGCTAATCTTTTGATTTTGATGTGATGAGCCCAGGTTAACCTTTGGTCGAGAGTGAGCCCGAGATATTTGATTTTCGGAGAGTAAGGGATAGGAATACCGTATCGAAAAACTGTAGGAAAAATAATAAATGCACCACACTACGTGTCTAAACACACCCTTCATACTGACACCAAACTCAAAACAATTAACGACGAAGCCAAAATATATTATAAAAGATTCTATTCCAAACTAATTAGCCACCCTAACGAACTCATAAAAAACTTATCTACTCCTTCCATACCTGGTAATCCCCCTAGACGCCTGAAGCGTAAGTGGTGTCGTGATCTCTTAAGATAAGCAAAAAATAAAAATAAAAAAATCAAAAAAAAAAATCCATAGAAAGTGCCATCGATGGATGGCTTCTTTCATAAAATTTCCATGTCAATCTTTGTAACTCTCATCATATATGCTTATTGTGTCTAGTCGATACAGATTGTGTATTACGTTTAAAAAAAAAAAAAAAAAAACAAAATTCTGTTTCAATATTTCTTAATTCCAGTATTAACTTCTTATGAGTAAATTTGTATTGACTACTCAAGACATAGCTATACAAATAGAAAATTAATGTTACATATTTAACTACAGAATAATTTTGAAAATGTTTGTAATTTTGGTGAATTTTGTAAGAATTTAATGATATTAACTATAGAATAAAATATAAAAAATAATACATTTCAAATGTCTATAAATACTTTTAAAAAAGTCAAAATATTTTGAAAATAGCACTATGTATAGAAATTATGTAGGGCTATTTGCTATATTGAGTTACAACGAAGAAAATTATTTGATAAGAAACCTTAATTTTACAAGTGAATATCCTGCAAGTTCATAAAAATGTAATCTCTAGACGCTCATAATAACTCCATATTTGTAAAATGACACATTTTTTTTTTGTTTTAATACGTAAAATAAAAATTATGAGTCACCTTATATCAAATTAGCCAATATTAGATGTGTGTATTAAACATTTTAGAAATTTTTAAATACAAAAAAACTTGTAAATGTTGTGGAATTATTTTGTTTTGTGGAATTAACCTTAAAAAGTACTAGTAACCTAACCTAATTGATATTGTGATATGATTAATTTGGAATTTATTATAGGCACAATTTTTTTTTAATACCATACATAAGTATATAATATGTCTTATACCTAGACTGACATACCGTGTCCGCTCAGAACCGCTTTTCTTATACAATGATATTATATAATTGAATTCAAATTTAATACCATCCATTATACAGTGACCCACTTGTAACCTACTGTACAGCAGAGCACATTTTTTACTTTTGATCCCTCAAAATCCAATGACAGAAACGAAAAAACAAAAAAACCATATATCATTGTACAATCATTGCATTCATCGCTCTGCTCAGAATTTAAAATAAGAATAAAGTTATGGTAAAGATAAATTAACAGCTGATATAACATAGAAAACAAAAGCAATAAACACTATTACCTATAACCCTAAAATACGTGTTCGCATTGACATTATTTTTTCTAATACATATAATAAATAATACATCATAAAATAAACATTTATTTTACAGACGCAATACTATATATAAGCATGTGCGTATCATTTAAAAGATCAACACTAACCTAACCTATTAAATTATTATTATGTATACAAAGTGATTCTTTTATCATTGAACACTCATTATTTCAAAAAGTATTAATGTTTTTGAAAATATTTTGTCTTATAGTTTCAAGTTGCTAAAAAACAACGTTTTTTTTTAAAAAATTATATTTTTAAATATTTTTTATCCTTATAATTTTTGAAGATTTTTACTTTTTTGAATGACAACATAGAGTTTTAATTTCATATTCCAAAGCAGAGTATTTTTCTAAGTATTTTGAAACATAAAAATCGAATTTAGGACGAGTAGCTTATGAGTTATAACTTATAAGTATTTAAAGTTTAGACAAGCAGAGTAGTGAATAAATATTTTGCAGGGAACCCCGTACCAGTCCTCTCCAAACATCTAAACTTTAAATACATAAACTACTAGTCCTAAATTCAATTTGTATGTATCAAAATACTTAGAAAAATAGTCTGCTTTGGAATATGAAATTAAAACTCTGTGTTATCATTCAAAAAAGTAAAAACTTAAAAAAAATATAAGGATAAAAAATATTTAAAAATATGATTTTTTAATAAAAACTTTGTTTTTTTAACAATTAGAACCTATACAAAAAAATATTTTCAAAAACATTAATACTTTTTGAAATAATGAGTGTTCAATGATAAAAGAATCACCTTGTATAATATATTTTATTGGTAAAAAATATAGTAGCGAAATGTGACTAAAATTATTATCTTCTCCGTTCAGACAATATGATATTGCAAATGAGTCAAATCAATCATCATTAGTTGGAGATAATAAAACAATCATATGATATTATTCAACTTAATAATATTATGCTTTTAATAAAATGTATCATATTTTAATGACTAATTTATTAAGTATCGGGGACACCTCCTGTGGTTGAATTGTCAACTCCACATTCGTTTGTGCCTCGTCGAATTTTGAACAAACCCTGGTCTCCCCAATCTGAGTTCCACGAATTGACCATCAACCAATAGAGGACTCCGTATTCTTCACCCCAACCAATCAGCTTCACGGAGTGCGTTCCTAAATATGAGGCATTTTCTGATTTCACGTAAATGCCTAAAAACAATCAAATTTAAAGACGATTGATGAGCGAAATTAACTAGATAATGATGTTACTTCTCCCTCAATCTTCATAATATTTTACCTGACTTGTAGCTGGGAAAATCGTCATACACATCAAACGATGCTTCAATTGGTCCATAATTGATAACGTCCTTTTGAATACCTCTATATGTGAGGTAGTAATGGTCTCTCGCTACAATCATATTCCCAACGTTTACAAACGCATTTAGCTTTACGTGTTAAATTGTAAAAATAAATCTCACTGTATCTGTGATCTTTGTTGAAATCGATATCTTGATCTCCGTAACAATTTCTCGTGCATCTGTGATTTGATTCCAGTGGTTGACCCGAGCATGTATTATTTCCATATTCATCATGAAGACAAGGTGGGACTCTGTACGGTTCACACCCCTAAAAATTATAGGTGGACAGTTATATATTATGACCTGGGCCACTGGGTATGACAGAACACTTAACTTGTAAACCATTAGATTTCTAAATGTGTATATGAAATGAAAATATTTTAACTATTTAAAAAGTTATTTTGGTTTTTCGAGAAACGTTATATTTTCTGATCTTGTCCCATAGTTGTGTGGTAAGATGGAATTGTATGTATAAATACAACTACTTATAATAATTCTAGTACCTATTGTCTTTAAAAATATTATAATTTTTAAATGTTATATAATGTCTTTATAAGTAGCCACTGTATATAGCGGGCACCTCCAAATAGTGTGTGATTTCTGAGAAAAAAACATCAAACTAAACCTCTGAATAGTGGACGAAAATTTGGACACCAAACGTGACCAGTATTTAGAAATTTCAATTTAATTTGTAAACATATATATTTTGATGTAGGATTGACCACTAAAATCTTATTACAAAAAGAGTTTTCAATCTCCCGGATCATAGCCAGAATTTCAGGATTTTGAGATAAAAGCTCTTAATAAATACTTGAATATTGAAAAAATTTCCTAACACATAAAAAGTTTGACCATTTGAATTGTATATAATTTACATTTTTAAAAAATGTTTAATTTGGTATCCAAATATGTATTTTTATTACATTTTATATTTTACAAAACTATAAGCACTAGTAAATGTTCAAATAAACAATAGATAAACAATATATAAACATATTTAAACAGCCAATACAAGTCAAAAATATTTCGTATTATCCACCTTGATTTTTAAGATGAGTTGGTGAGTAGTTTCCTCTCTTTCCCTCTCCCTTCCATTAAATACACTACCACTTAACTCTTTAGCGATAAATAAGCTGCATGATTAATAATATAATCCTTACAAGTTATAATATTTTTATAATAATATCTGTTATGTGTATGATATAACAGGTTTTTTTCTTTTAAACCAATTCAATACTGTCCTAGAAAATTAGTATCTAAAACAACTGTAAGCTTAGTTAATAGTTATTATAGACATGGGCGTAATCTGCGGAGCAAAGAGGCAACTGCCCCCTTAGAAATTTAACTGAAGGTGCAATAGTATCTTTTTACCTTATAGATTTTTAGTTTTACCACAGACCCTCCCCCTCCACAAATAGTTTACCCCAGATTAAGCCAATGAATATAGAATATAGATAAAATATAAATTGTATACCTATATAACTACCCATATAAGGCATACCCATATAAGGTATACCCATATAAGGCCGTACCCAAATAATATTTTTGAATTTGATTTGTTCCAAATATTTTTAGATTTTCCATGATAATTTATCGATTATTAATCATTGGTGTGATGTATGTGACGAGAACCGACAACGTATTAGGTAGTACAATCTTAACGACTGTGTCTGTTTATAGATAAGTGTTGTGTTTTAATGCGGTTAGCTTTATTTTTAATTAAAAAAATATGACGAAAGCTCAGACGACATCTTGTTCTATCGTCTTACACGTTTCGTAATAGAGTTTGTAGATAGCATATTCATTATGGATGGATTGGTTTTATATTGTAAAGTGTTTGAAACCAAAGTCAGTTTTTGAGTGCATATTTTAGCGTTTCTTTTTTTAAAGTAAAAGCCCATATTTCACGTTTTTTAATGCATACATATTTAGTAATTTTGTTAAGCATAGATGCATACACATTTAAGCAATTTTAAGTGCATAAAAATCGGAACCTTAATAACAAGTTATTAGGTACACATATTGATAATAATTAAGAAGCAATTTCCGTAGCTTACACAACAGTGATTTTTCGTTATTTTCACGTCGACATTTACGGATCAAAATATTTTCATACAGCAATAACTATGTCAATGAAATTGTTTTAATGTCATAATATGTTTTCATTAATAATATTAATACAAAGAGACCTATACAATAAAATTGTCAAGGAATATAAGCAACAGTTTATAATTTACTTACAATCCTACGATCCACATCTTACTTCACAACTTCATCTTACACCAGTCTGCCTTAAATATAAATTTAAAAAATCACCTCTCCTGATTTATAATTTCCTCCCGTAACAAGACCATGCTTTTTAAAACGCTTCCACGCTTTTATCGGATAACCTCCGTTACATCCATTACCACACTTGTGACAGCAAAAAGTGATTTCTTCGGCGGATAACAGTTGATTGAAATCTCCATTTGTAGCCACGCACAAGCGGTCTGCAAAAGCTGAGCTCGTCGACAATGCCTAATGAATTAACACATTCAAACTTTAAGAGGATTCCACTCAGTGATTTTCTGTCTTTTTGAACACATGCGTGACATAGGATTTTAAACGTGTTCTTGGCCAAATATACCAATTGATCTAATGAAGGGATAAGAATTTTGAAAACATATTTGAATTTGCCGTCAAGTCTACTTTAAATCGATTTCCCTACTTTTTTATATCATCCCAAAAATTCCTAAAAACGTTATATTAAACAAAAAAGTAATTAAAACATTTTCGTATTTACATTTTTGTTTTCAGAATTCTTATCGCTTCATTAGATCAATAATTGATAAGTCTGGCAAAGAACACGACTAAAATCCTATATTATGCGTGTGTTAGACTAAGACAGAAAATCACAGTATAGAATTTGTGAAGAGGACGTGATACCCACACGTATTGTCTCTGTCTTGCAAGTGCGTAACATGGCACATTTTACGCTCAGTAGAACAAGTGTAGGTAAATCTGTTAGTTTAAAAATTGAAGTAAATTGACCACTTATAAAATCTAAAGGTAAGATCTTTAATAGGCAAACACATGGGCATTTTATTATATTTTAATTGTGAAGCGAGTTATGAGTATTTTGAAATTGTAAATTGTTCGTACATCTTATAATAAGATGTACTCGTTTTGAAATTAAAATATAATAAGAAGCCCATGGGATTACCTATAGTTAATAATCTTACCTTTACATTATAATATAAGAGGTCAATAAATTCTAATGTTTAAACTAACGAATCTACACTTGTTCTGCTGAGCGTAAAATGTTCTATGTTACGCATTTGCGAGGCGGAGACAACATTGTGCGGGTATCACGTCCTCTTAACCTATGACATTAACATGGGCTCGTCAATATGGTATGCACTTGCCCAATCCGATGCGCAATTTCCTTGGTCTCTGACTTCTCCAATCGTTTTGCAACGTATCCATTTCTTCCTCGCGTCAAATTTCCTGGGAATTTCCTGGTAGTTGTCTGCGTCATCGTCGTTCTTATACATATTATATTTAGCTTTGTCTGGAATTTGTACGCCTCTTGATCCCAAAAGTCTTAAGATGTGTTCTTTTGGTGTACTTGGGTCGAAATTAGCACCGGCCTAGTTGATTAAATACGGTCAGTAAAATAGTTGACACTTAAATAAAATAAAAATTGACGTAGGTACATTATCTTTTTAATAATACTTTTAGGTTTTGACCGGAATGATGTTATGTGGTGTTTTTTTATTATACATATTTACATGCTTTATATAGTACAAAGCATAATAGTTTTAATTTAACTTCAGCGTTTTTTTTCGGTCAGAAAGTGAATCTAGACGGTAATTTTATGAGACTCAAATTAAAAATCAAAGTATTTTTACTGGATTTTAGATACTTAAAATTGTCATCAAATATTAATCATATCAATATTTTTTATGCGTGGTATAATTTTGTTTATGTTTTCACTATTCTTGAACCATTTATGGACATAATATTTTGACATTTATGAATTTTTTTTTAGTTTTTGTTTTATAAATATCTATAAAAAAAGGTGGAAACTCGTTTGATGGCCTTTTTAATATATATTTTAAATTTACGACAACTCGTTTACGGATAAAATATAGTTGTTAACTCAATGACGAAATACACTTTAAACCCACTTTACGACAGTGTAGTTGCCTACTTCTCTCTCTTTTTTTTGTATAGTATTTACTTGTAATATAATTTCTATATACTATATTCAATATTTTCTTAAATATTCACTTTTAATTGAAAAATTGTAACTAAAAATATCAATAAAAATTACATTTAGATGTTGATTTTAAGTACCTTGGTAAGTTTTTGAATTTATATGACTGACAACATTTTTTAAAATTAAAAAAACCTATCAACGTTTTAATAATATTCGAATAATATTAACAATTTTATATACAGATCTTAATTGTTAAAAAAATAATAAATTATTAAATGTAGGTATTTCAAATTATAATATATTATAATATTGTGGCTCAATGACACAATTTAAAAATAAGTATGACCTATTTTTATTTCGAATAATCATTTTTTATTAACTACCTTCCATGTCGTTGCTTGTTCATTGATATTGTCGATGAAATCTTTTTCCAAAAAATATGCTTGTTCCGTTACATAGACACTGATCAAAATAACAGACCCTAAAATTAATACCCTAGCCATTGTTAAAATTATTTTTTCCAAAACAAAAATAAAATTAAGTATTCACTGTTACGCGGCCTGAGTGTACAACACTAGTAGGTAGGTACAACAATAGTTTCATTATTTAAATATTGTACAACATTTATATACATCTCACTCCCTTGAAATTATGTTATTGAGAATATCTCAGAAGAAACTTTTATATAATTTTGTCAAGTGTTTGTATATCAAATAATATAAATAATCTATTCAATTGAAAAAAATTCCATAAGCATTCAACAATGCACTGAAAAATAAAAATACTAAATTCCACTTGAAAATTTGTGTATAGGTGGGTGCAACTATTCCTTTAGGTACCTATCAAGTTTGTATTGAGATTTGATAACGTTTTAGTTACATGTCTAAACGTTAGTGTTAATATTGAAAACTTATAATCAGGAGTCACCTCTTTATGTTGAAGGAGTAAATACCGATAACACTAACATTTTACAAAAAAGAACATTTTTACAATAAGTAAGTAAATTATTAATATAAGCATTTCAAATGACTCACATGGCACCTACTAAACTGAACATGGATTTGACAAACAAATAAATTCTTAATTATTTAGTCATAATATAAACATCTATGCATATGTAATCGCGATTAAACCGTTTATTATTACCGATATTTGAAAAAAAGATAATACTCTTAAAATAGGTAAATATTTTATCAACGAGTTGTCATTAAAACTTTGAAGTAGGTATAATATGATCGAACTTACAGTATAGGTACCTGCCTAATACTTAGTAAAATGGTTAAAAATTTAAATTCAACATCATGGTTACTGTAGTTTTATATATTAAATCAAATTTGTACATATATATTATGATACTAGCTGCCCCCTGCCACGCATGGAAATTTAAAAATTATGATTAAACTAGATTGAGCATTGAGATTGATGATAGTGTGAACGTAATTTTAACGATAGAATACCAACCTGTTATTGCAGTCAAATAAACAATTACCATAAATTATATAACTACCTAATCGGCAACGATGGATCTCGCTTTGTGAACATAGATATATGTATCCTATCATTATTGTACCTACATAATTTTCAAACGTCGTTCGATCTACACTCTAAAATTCTAAAATTCCGAGAACAATCTCTAAAGCTTTCGTAAAAATCAGTCGATTAGGTTTTGATTCTATAGACTACAAACCTAATGACACTGCGTTTTGTTGTACATTTTGTTTTACAATTTTTAAACTTAATTTTAGTGAACACATGGTTTTACTGGTGTTTTACTGTATTATCTCTCAATATTTAGTATATTTACAGGTATAAGGTACCTACATACAACCTATGCTTAGAACCTGCCAGTAGTGTAGGCTTTAAATTGAAAAAAACTCCATTTGAATCCATATGCTAGTATCTGAGTTGACCCATTGCTAAAACAACTCATTTAAAATGTATGTGCAGGATGATTCACCGAAGAATGCATACCTATATTATTCCTTAATAATGAATTTATACAAAAACAGATTTAATTTTCCAACCATTATAATTTTATCCATTTCTAGTTAAGTTTTTTTTATTACTAGTCTTAGTAGCCGAGTCAACTTCATCAATTGAAAATATAATGTTACTCTGTATTGAAAAAATCTGAAACTTTAACGAAACAAATAAAAGTTAACGTTTTTACTATAGTTGTGGCAGTGTAAAGTAAAAAAATTAGATTCATAAGTGTTGACAGTTGTTTTTTAAACAGATACTTTAGAAATTGTAAATAATGTAATGATTAAATACTCTCCACGTCCATAGGAACTACAATTTGTATAACATTCTAACTATATTTGTAGCCAAATAGATGAGTGTGAGCATTTTGAAGGTTATGCTGTAATGTAAACACTCTTAAACAAAAGAAAATTTTATAATAACTCCATAAGTAGTTTTCAGTTATGACGATAATCAAACAATGAAACATTTTATATAACAATTTATTTTATTTAAACATAAAATACATGGTAGAATTTTTTTATTTTAATAAAATTAAATAATTTGGTTAGTTAGTAACTGGTACCCCAGCAGTTGTCGAGTTATCAATACCACATTCGTTTGTGCCACGTTGAATTTTGAAAAGACCGTTGTCACCCCAATCTGCGTTCCACGAATTGACCATCAACCAGTATGGAACTCCGGCTTCTTCACCCCAACCGATCAATTTAACGGCATGTCCTCCCAAGTATGTGGCATTTTCAGATCTCACGTAAACACCTTTAAAACATCGAAATTACGATTAGAAATAATACTACGATTATCAAAATACTAGCACAAGGCACATATTATTATAATATATTAAGTCTTTCATGTTTATTGTTTACCTGACTTGTAATTGGGGAAATCGTCGTACACGTCGAACGATGCCTCAATTGGTCCGTAAGTCATAACGTCCTTTTGGATGCTGCCGTACGTTAGGTAGTAGGAGTCACGTGCTACGATCATAAGTTAATAGATTAAACACATATTATTTTAACACCGCATGTAATACATTGTCCAAATAACTCATACTGTATCTGTGATCTTCGTCGAAGTCGAGGTCTTGATTTCCGTAGCACATTCTCGTGCATCTGTGATTCGATTCCATTGGTTGACCTGCGCATGTATTATTTCCTTGATCGTCATATGGGCAAGGTGGGACTCTGTATGGTTCACAACCCTAAAAATGATTTGTACACGGTTAAGCCAAACGTTATATTATACAATATTATGTATTAATACTCTTCTCCAAACAAGCCACATACCTCTCCAGATTTGTAGTCTCCTCCGGTGACTAAACCGTGTTTCTTAAAACGTTCCCACGCTTTAATCGGATAACCACCTTTGCATCCGGAACCACACGAATGACAACAGAAAGTGATTTCTTCGGCGGATAACAATTCATTGAAATCTGCATTTGTAGCCACACACAGACGGTCAGCAAAAGCCGAGCTCGTAGCCAATGCCTAAAGAAATATTTCGTTCAAAATGATTGTCCAACTCTTGACACGTCATATCAATTTATATTTCTACGCACCCAATCCGATCCACAATTCCCTTGGTCACGGACTGTTCCGATATTGCTACAATGTCTCAATTTCTCCTAGCGTCAAAGTGTCTTGGAATTCGGCCGAATAAGTTGTCGTAAGCTGCATCGTCGGTTTTGTACAGATGAATATTATTTTTGTTTGGAATTTGTACTCCTTTTGATCCCAACATTTTCAAGAAATCTTCCTTTGGTGTATTTGGGTGGAAGTTTACACCTGCCTAATATTTGTTAAATGTGCTGATTATTAGGTATCAACAATTATTTAAAAAAAAATTGCAATACATAGCAAATATATTAATTTAATTATATTTTAACGAAAGTACGTAGGACGTATATTGTTCACTTCAATTCTTTTTTTTTTATAAAGAATTCTTATTTAAAATTTAATATATATTAAATTTTTATTAAGGGTATTTTATATTTAAAAATATTGAATATATATTTTTTGATACTTGTAAACTATACAGTATACATTAATAATCTCGTCAAACTTATCATTACCATGATGATAAATTGTTATAAACAGAATTTTATTTATTGTTTAATTTATGTGTGTTATATTATTATATCTTAGTTTTTGATCGGTGCGATGAATGTATTGAATTTACTATGATATTAATATTTTTTATTTAGATCTTTGTAAATGGAATATAGCAAAAAAAAAAATCAAATAATGCGGGAAATAGTTTTTATATTTGGTGTAATTTAAAATGTGTCTTGGAATTCCAAGATACACACCCTACACGATCCACAATTTCCTTAGTCATGGACTGTTCCGATAGTGCGCCAACGTCTCAATTTTCTCCTAGCGTCAAAGGGTCTTGGAATTCGGCCGAATATGTTATCGTAAGCTGCATCGTGCATTGTACAGATGAATATTATTTTTATTTTGGAATCTGTACTCATTTTCATCCCAAAAGTTTTAAAAGATGTTTCTGTGATGTATTTGTCAAAGTTTACACCTGCCTAATTTGTTAAATGTGCTGATTAGTATAAAGAATTATTTAAATAAGTAAAATGTAAATAATACGAAATTTGGCAAATTATATTGTAGTTTAAAGGTTATGTTGTAGTAAAAAATGCATAAAATGATTAATCTTCATAGCTCAGTTTTGAAAATCTAATAAATATTTTTCTTAAGTAGTTCCAAATCAAAAATTATAAATAAATAATTTATTTTTAATTTAAACGAATTGGGTATAATATAAACCAGGCGGCTTGCAAACGTTATAATAACGTTATATTTGACAAATTGAAATTTGTAAACGTTATTAAAACCGAAGTCAGTAATCAAAAATAATTAAATACCGCAAAACAAAGCATAACGAATAATAATAAATTATATAATATAATATCAATAGACAAAAAATATAGCAAAACGAAAGTTATAGAATATCTTTAAACGAAAAATAACGCAAAACAAAATTATTTGAAAATTTTAAATCCAATTAATTTAAAAGTAAAGTACATTTTTTTCGTAGAAATATATTTTATTTCATGCTATTTATTTTTACCTTAAAAAATATCTAAGAATGGATTATATTATATTCCGTATCCGGGACATTTACCTAACCGCATTTTTTTGGAGTAATTGATAACTTTTAAATTGAATTGTCAATACCAAATACATAGTATAATAATAATTTAATTTATTATGATATTATAATTAATAATGATTAATGATGCCCTGATAATTGCGATGTAGAAGTATATAGTATTGACTTATTGTATTCACCCTGTACTTTGTCTACTCTGTAGTCTGTACTACTAGCCTGTAGTCAGTCCTCTTGTGAGGGTTAAAGTATAAAATGTTGTTAAAACATCAGTTTTATTTATATTAGCTACATATTAAAACAAATAACTCAATCATGGGTAGAACAATTTCCAACCCAGTACTGAAAATGCAAAGGTGGTCATTAACTTGTTAAAAATTTAAAGTTGAGTTAAAAA